ATAAGAAAGTATTTATTTTTATTTTTAATAATTATATTATCTATCTAACATTAAAAATATTATTACAATTTATAATATATAACACAAATATTATTATTTTTATATTATATAATACTAGTTATTTTTGGTTTTTTACTAGATTTGAGACCCAACCCAATCACTTTAACTTGGACTTGAATTGAATCCAAGTCTAAGCCCAATATACATTATAATTTATGTAATTTTTTTTTTTTAAAAAAAATTATATTATCTCCATTCCATATAATTTGACATCTATAATGTAGATAAGAGATTTTAAAAAGTGACATAATTAAAAATGATTAAAAAGTATATTATTAAAAACAGTTGGGGTACAATACAAATAATTATAGATTAAAATTAAAATAATTAATTTAATTAAAATTAATATTATTATATATTATAAAATTTAAAATATGATCGAAATAAATATTTTGATAGATTTTTCAAATAAAATAAAATAAAAAACTAAAAAGAAATAAAAAGAATGAATTAAATTACATGTTTGTAATTTTAATAACTATTAAAAATATAAATAAAAATATAAATAAAAATAAAAATAAAAATAATATTTTATAATTCACCATAGTGCCATAACCAAACTATATTGTAATCCTTAATTTCCTCTCGAATATGGATGTAGGGATCATTTGGTTTGTTCTTTTCTTCTTCTCTTCTCACTATTTTCAATGAAAATATTTTATTCATATTTTCCATAAAAATACGTTATTATTTCATAAAATATTTAAACAATAATAAAAACTACTTCATTCAAACAATATCACAATTCTCCAAAATATTATTCCCTTCGTTCAATACAATAATCTTGTTACGCACAAAAAATAATAATAATAATAATAATAATAATAATAATAATAAGGTATCCAGAGTCAGTCGGTGGGTTCTCAGTCGGTTGGTTCTCAATCAGATAAGCAAGTCAGATGGTCCGCGGTCGAGCAAGCAGGTCGGATTATCCGCAGTCGGATAAATGGGTCGGTTGATACAAAGGTTGGCTGCTATGGGGGTCGGTCGAAAAAGGAAGTCGGGCGAAGAAAGGTCTGTTGATAGGTCAGACGATTGAAGAGACCAAATAGTGGTCGTTTGATGGGGCGACCAGTGAGTCTTTTGATCTGGCGACCAATTATGTATCTAGATTGGTCGGTTGGTCGGTCGTTGGGTTATGCGGTTGGCGAGGCGGTTAAAGACATGTGTCAATGAAAGAGGCAGTTCTGAGTTCTGTAACTGGTGGGAACGGTTGGTGAAACAGTGCGACGGTTCTGAACGTTTTCTTCAAAGAATATTTAAGGATTTGGATCATCATTTGGCAAGGCATCTTCAATCAACTTCAACAAAGCGAAGTCAGATTTGGGGATCACCACTTTAAATTTCAGTCTTTTATTTTCCAGTTTATTTTCTGTACCATTTAGAGATTCCTAATCTCAGGCACTAATTAATCAAGTTTAAGGATATTTTCTATATCTTTGAATTTTACTTTATTTTTGTTGAAAAATTGCATCAACAAATTGGCGACCACAGTGGGAGAAAATTGCTGATCCATATGGCAAATTTTCAATTCCACAGTACAGCCGTTGGCTTTATCACGGCAGAAGAAGCTTCCCAACTACGGGCCGAATTGACAGCAGGTTTTCGGCAAATGTACGACCAGTAGATAGCAAATCTGCAGGCAATACATGACGCAATGCAAAACTTGATGGAGCAATCAAAATTCATGTTGAATTCGGTTCCTGCACCGCCAGAAATGTCATGCCCCCAAACGGACAACGCCATTCCTGAGCATATACCCCGTCAGACAGACTGGAGACAGGACCAAACAGGAGGACAGGCCCGACCAGGGACGACCGAATGGACGGAGACAGGTCGGCAGGATCACGACGCCTGGACGGACCATGGTCGGGAAGACCACACCGACTGGACGGACCATGGTCGGGAGGACCACACCGAATGGACGGACCGTAGTCGGGACAACCACACCGACTGGATGGACAAAGGTCGGGAGGACCACGCCGACTGGACGAATACAGATCGGGAAGACCACACCGACTGGATGGACAAAGGTCGGGAGGACCACGCCGACTGGACGAATACAGATCGGGAAGACCACGTCGACTGGACGGACAAAAATCGGGAGGACTACGTAACCTGGACGGATACAGGTCAGGAGGACCCCGCCGAATGGACGGATACAGGTCAGGAGGACCCCGCCGAATGGACGGACACGGGTTAGGTCGCCGACCATAACTTTTCAGGCGAGCAAAAGAATGACAGAACAACAGTGGCCGAAAGGAGGAATAAGTCGGACGGGAGTCTGAATACAATGGTAGTGCAAGATCGACCAACGTCCAGGCCAGCACCAGTCCGCGATAAATGGAGGTCGGGTCCAACGTAGCCTCAAAGGATGGAGGTCGGATCTGAGGCTGACGTAGCCTCGGATGCTAACCTACTAACTCCTAAAACATCATAAGAAATGATGCTTAGGAGTCTTGAGGAGGAGGCATGTTGTTACGCACAAAAAATAATAATAATAATAATAATAATAATAATAATAATAATAAGGTATCCAGAGTCAGTCGGTGGGTTCTCAGTCGGTTGGTTCTCAATCAGATAAGCAAGTCAGATGGTCCGCGGTCGGGCAAGCAGGTCGGATTATCCGCAGTCGGATAAATGGGTCGGTTGATACAAAGGTTGGCTGCTATGGGGGTCGGTCGAAAAAGGAAGTCGGGCGAAGAAAGGTCTGTTGATAGGTCAGACGATTGAAGAGACCAAATAGTGGTCGTTTGATGGGGCGACCAGTGAGTCTTTTGATCTGGCGACCAATTATGTATCTAGATTGGTCGGTTGGTCGGTCGTTGGGTTATGCGGTTGGCGAGGCGGTTAAAGACATGTGTCAATGAAAGAGGCAGTTCTGAGTTCTGTAACTGGTGGGAACGGTTGGTGAAACAGTGCGACGGTTCTGAACGTTTTCTTCAAAGAATATTTAAGGATTTGGATCATCATTTGGCAAGGCATCTTCAATCAACTTCAACAAAGCAAAGTCAGATTTGGGGATCACCACTTTAAATTTCAGTCTTTTATTTTCCAGTTTATTTTCTGTACCATACAGTGTTTAGAGATTCCTAATCTCAGGCACTAATTAATCAAGTTTAAGGATATTTTCTATATCTTTGAATTTTACTTTATTTTTGTTGAAAAATTGCATCAACAAATCTTATTTATCATTTTTTTTTCTCAAAACAATAGTCTTATTTCTATAAATAATCATATCATCGTAAAATTGCCCATACTTTTGCATTTTTACTACACAATTGTCGCTACTTTTTACACTAATACACTTACAAAGGCAAAAAAGTCTTTTATCCATACATTTTACCAACTATCAATATAGTATCAATATTCTTTAAATTCCATATTAACACTGTAATTCTTGGGATGAGGGAGTATTACAATTCTCAATAATAATTACTCCATTTGGGATACCTATGCCATTTTTTTTTAATTATTCATAATAAATAATTTTATTTACTTGTAATTTATTATTAGTACTTTAACTAATATAATCAATTCATCACTTTTTTAAAATTTACCACACTATCTTTATTACTAACTCTTTAATACTTTTTATTTATTTATTTATTTATAATACCTTCATTATATTTTGAGTAAACTGTTTTTTAGTCTAGTAACTAGACCCCCTTATCATTTTAGTCCCGTAGGTGGAGTCTGTCGCAAACTAGTCCCATAAGTGAAAAATTTTCGCTGTTTTAGTCCTCCGGCGCCGGAGACGCCCGCGTGGCTCGCCGGAGGTGACGTGTCCGCCAGGTGTCTGTCAGCGACACCTGGCGGACACGTAGATTTAATTTTTATTTTTTTTTATTTTTTTTAAAATTAAATCAAATTAAAAAATTAAAAATATATAAATAAAATTAAAAATAAATTAAAAATAAGTTTTAAAAAAAATTAAAAAATTAAAAAAATAAAAAAAAATCCACGTGTCCGCCAGGTCAGCGCGGTGTTGCTGACCTGGCGGACACGTCTACCTCCGGCGAGCCACGCGGGCTTCTCCGGCGCCGGAGGACTAAAACAGCGAAAACTTCTTACTTATGGGACTAGTTTGCGACAGACTCCACTTACGGGACTAAAATGATAAGGGGTCCAGTTACGAGACTAAGAAAACAGTTTACCCTTATATTTTTTTATCTATACCATTTTTATACTAATGTACTACTATTTTTTATTTTCATGTTCAAAATTTGTGGCATAAGAAGCTCAAACGGAAGGACTAATAAATATCCCACCAAATTTAAAATAATAAAATATACAATTTTTATATTATATGTGTGTATATATATATTAATGTGATTTATTCGAAAATTTATTTTACTGAGAGCGAAAATTTACTATCCGTTTGCTAAAAAGTTTCACTTCATGAGAATTTATTTAACTACGTTGTCATGTTTGTGTATTGGCGGTCATATTTGAAAATTAACTTGTGGATACAAAATAATCGAATAAACTTAAATTGAGCTAAATCATAACTATAAACAATCATTGTAAATTAAAATTAAAGACCAAATTAAATTGTGGGAATTGGAGAAGATATTGTCTAAAGTATTATCATTTGGTGCAATTGATTGATTGAATTTTTCTTCTCTTTTTAATGGAATTTCTTACTTATTATTGTTTCGAACGAGTTATAAATCAATTTTAATTCCCGTTATTACTGTGACTTGCCTTGTGAGATTATTAAATTATGTCGAAAATTTACCTAAACTGCACTCGAAAAGTAATAACCGCGGATTACCACTACTATAACATATTTAAAAATTTCATTCAAGTAACTTATAATTAGTCTTTCGTTAGAACCAAATCACAACACACACACACATATATATATATATATATATAAAAGAACATACAAGAACCACGCAGATCTGACATCTCTAATATAGTCGGACAATACATAATAAATACACAACTTATATTAATATAATACAAACATAATATACTGGAGATATACACAATTCATGTTGTTTCAATAGCAATCACATATATGTTTGTGTATATCGTTATAATGCGCTGAAATTATAATTTAATACCAAACCCAAATTAAATTTTCTCAAACCAAACCCAAAGAAACACACCCGAAAGATTTTGTTTCAAAGAGCAGTACTTATTATATATATATATACACAGATATATGCACAGAGAGATCAAACAATAAATCATCACTTGTATATGTAAGAAATCTGACGTGAAGCAAAGGAAAATTAACTTACAGAAACCAGTAGGACTGCTGAATTTTTCTCAGGAGATGACAAACACCCTAAGCTCTCCCCTATCTCCTCGAGTCACTCGCAAATCCGAGTCTACGTATGTAACCTCGAATTCGCCACTTCCTGTGTTGGATTGCGATCTTAAAAAGTCTGGTATCCGCGGCACATCCAGTGGGGGTAGCTGCTGCAAGTTTCCAGTAGGTTTCACAGTCGTTTTCTCAAATGTTATCTTGATATTGCTAGTCCCTGTTCGAGAAATATTACAGAAGATCATTTTATCGAATAATACAGAAAAACGTCGAGTCATTTTGAAATGTAAGCTAACCACCTATAAGTTCAAATTTGTGAGCTAATGTGGCAGTGACTTCTGCGGAGGGTAAAGGCCACGGGGCACCCAATTCGAGCTCAACAATGTTGTCGAAGTCCTTGCTAAAGACATCAATCCTTTGAAACACCTATTTGTAAACAAAATATAACATAATTCAAGATTCATTTTTATTTATCAGTAAGCTTATCGATTTTCCAGAGATGATGTTAGGTTGTTGTTTCAGTTCACTATTGATACCTGTCCGAGGGTTATGGGAAGGAGCCTTCCAGTGGGTGGTCCGGGACGGCTACCTCCAAGAGTGCGTGATGAGAATGCGCTACTGTATATCAACTTCCACCTGCCTTGTAGTTTATCAAGCTCAAGTGATAGATCTACAAAACCTCCGGCTGATTCCAGCTCCTTTGCTGCAGCATCAGCATTCCGAAGATCATTTTCAGTTGCCGCAAGACCTCTATTTAATCCGGAAACCGCACTCTGTAATTAAAGAGGCGTGCATACAATAAAAAACCAAATGTTCAAACAATTTCAGAAATGTACACTGGAAAACTATCCCCTATTTGGTATTTGAACAATCATGAGAACCCGTTTGTAGTTTATGCAACGAGCTTTTAGGGGTCATTGTTCGTTTCCACCACCCATTGATGGCCAAAGGTCATATATTCAGAACATATATAGACTACGGCATACTTTCTAAAGCATAGATACAGCACCACAGCCTGTAGGTTCCTGATGGAAGTTTTTTGTTCCCAATGTTCGTCATTCCTTCAAATGAATACATCTCTATTTGTTCAAGAAAACAGCTTAGATCGACACACTCTTCTTGCCTATATGTTTTCAACAATTATCATAGAATTATTCATTCCTTGGAAGATTGTGGCATTCATTTACTCATTACTATGTATTGAGCACAATAAGGCCAGATTTATGTAATATATGAAATACTTGTTCATAATCAAATCTAAATAAGCTGTAGTAATGTGGCTTGAAAAGAAATACATGATCAAGCACAAAACTAACTTTCTGCAGTTTAATTCCATCTTCTAAAGTGTGCTAGGACTTGGAATATAATATTTGTTGCATCAATATGACACATCAATCAAGTGGAAAATAGCTAAAGATGTTCCATGTATACACACAAACTTTGGTACAAATACTTGCAATTTGGATTGAAGAAATGTTCTAGTGACAACAATGAGATTCAATAGCAGAAAAGAAATACAGATAACAAATTTGCAGGACCAAAATTAGTGAGTATTAACATTGCTGAGGCAAAAATCATCGCACTTGGAAAACACGAACTCAAGCATAAAAAGCAAAAGAGAATCAATGCTGTCAAACCAACATAAATGTACCCTAACCATTCAAATTTGAGCGAAAATTGGAACGAAAAAGTAAATCAGAGTAATAGAAACAATCAGAAGCAAGGGTAAATAGCATACCAACAATTTGAGCTTAAGCGATGAAATGTATTCATCAGTGGACGCTTTATTGCTCCCGGAAGGTTGAATATATTCAACTCCACCGGCAGACGACCGACAGTCAATGCCTCCTTTGAAATTAGAGTTTCTGCTGCTGCGGCGGCGGCGGAAAAGCTGAGGTCTGCAAATTGCAGCGGTTGAAGAAGAATATGGTGTAGAAAATTGGGGGAGCGATTGAGGATGAGAGCGCGGAATGGCCGCGGATTGAAGAACAGACGCCATGGGCAGGCACAAGCAACGAGGAATGAGGAAAATGTGATTTCTGATTGGGTGGTGTTATTTTGTTCGGAATGCTTCTGATTTATATTTATATTTTATTATTTATTATTTATTATTTTTAACGTGGCTATATTTTAAATGTTTTTGTTTTGAGTACAAGTAAATACATTTGCTCAATCAACCGGTTTCAAACAGCCGGTTCAAACCGGCGGTGAATTGAAACCCTTGTCAAACTATAAGAGCATTCTTTTTATCTCTTTTATCCACGTCATATTTATCTCAATATTCAAATTATTTTATTTATCACTCGTTATAGTAAATTATTTTTAACATGTTATTTTTACTATTTTATAAATCCACAATAATTTATTTATTTCTATATATTTTTCTTATGTAATAATGTATATAAATAATTTATTTATTTATTTATATATATTTCTATATATTTTTATTATCTAATAATATTTTTATATAAAAGTATTATGTTTTAACTTTTAAAATATTAATCTATATAAATTTTAATAATTAAAATTATTCAAAGTAAATCAACCTATATATTAATTAAAAATAACATAAAAAAGAATCATAATATAATATAAACTTATAAAATACATATATTAACACTATAACTTAAGAATTATTATTTTTATTATCAAACCCTATCGAACAATTTTATTTAAATACTGATTGAAAATATCAGTATTTTCACTAGTCATTTCGTTTAATTGAATATAAAAAGGTAGAAAATTGGTTAATGAAATTTAAATATATTTATAGATAATTTATGTTAAATTTTTAAAAATTTAAAATTTAAAATTTTTTTGGATAGTTTTTCATTTTTTTTAAATTTTTGTTTTTGAAGGTAATGAGTTCTTGATAAAAGTAATAAATTTTGATAACCGTATTTCTTATTAGAGGTAATGAGTTTTGTTATAATAAAAACTAAAAAGACAATGATAGTAATGAAATAGATGACCGTAGGAGATGTTCTAATAGAACTTAGAAATGACAATGTGTATGAATAGACTGGACCACCTATTTATTTTGGGTTGCGTCAAATTATTTTTTATATCGAATTGGGTATGAATATGATCTTATATATATCTTTATCGGGTTCGCATCGGATTCATGGTCTAACTGTAGACCTGAATCGGATTAGGATTCGAACTAGAGCCCATTAATATATTAATAATAGAATAAATTATATAATATCTTTTGTAATTTAAAAAAAAAATAGAGAAAATATTCTGTATTTTTTTTTATTACGTGAAACTTTTATATTAAATTAGAATACGTACAAAACATTTTTCGTCTAAATATGATGTTTGATTTAAACATCCATTTAATTATAAATGTTTTATACAAATAAAAGTGAAATAAATCTTAAAGAAAAACAAAATAGAGAGTAATGTAACAAACAAACAAAAAAAAAAGTGAAATAAATCTTATTTAAAAAGGTAAAATATAGTATTTTAAAATAAATAAATAAATAATTTATAACTATCTATTTAATAAATTTTTTGAAGACATATTACCTATTTATTTTTTTAAAAAAATATAAAATTAATGATTGGTCAATTATTTATTTATTATCCAAGTGAGGTTATTTAAGATATTTAATTTTTTTTCTTTGTATAAAATTTACATAATTAAAATTAAGTGTGCATTTATAATCAAACATCAATTTTGGATGAAGAATGCATTTTGTGCATAATTTAATTTAACACATGAAATTTTACACAATAATATGAAGTATTTTATACATTTTTACTTAAACACAAGTGATATTATGCAATTTATCATTAATAATATAAAAATTATATATTTTTTGAAAAAGAATTATAACAATATAATTATATTAAAAATACTTTTTTATGGTTTGAGTTATTTATTTATTAGGATTTTATTATAATATTTTTAATATAATATACTACATCTGTTCCGGTCCAATGTACATATTTAGTTTTTGTAATGAATTAAAGAAATGATTGTATTTAATTGATCACTGAAAATATATAATATTGTTTTAATATTTTTGCCCTTTATGTACTAATAAATAAATATTTTTTTAAAATTTGTTTTGTATTTATATATGATTGTATTTAATTTATAATATTGATTATTTTTGCCCTTTATGTATTATTTAATTGTATTTTGCCCTTTTGATTGATGTTTGCAGTTTGTTTGGACGACAGATGGACTTTAATTGAAGATTGAGCCTTCGTTATTTCAGCCCAATTGTCATAGAGGCCATTTAGCACGTCTTAAAAACTGGTCGAATATGGTGATTGTGATCTAAGTGATGATATGTCTCACAGATAATAAATTTTCCATGAAAAAGGAATTTATTCGGTTACAACAGATTTATTGTGGAATATGAGCAGAAGTTTATTGGATTATGTAAGTGGGTGTTTTGAGTGAAAGATTGGGTGATTATCGAAAATAGGGATTGTAAGGAGATAATTTAGGCATTCATGTTATGTAGGGATTAAGAAATGGGGGTAGATTTCTTGACGAATGCTGCTTGAACGGTGTCATGTATCTCAAAGTTTCGATGGTTTCAATAGTGGATTACGCTGGGTTAAAAACCCCCAGATGTAGGTTGGTGCGGCCGAACCGGGTTAATATCTTAATTGTGTTATTTACTATCATCTTCATTATTGTATGCATTCGTAGTATGTTCCAATAGAAACCAACTAATATGTGGTGTGGGTATTTAGTGGTTTATTATTTATATAAGTGCTTGGTACTGCTATGTGTGCGAGTTGATCGTTTAAGGGCCTAACAATTGGTATCAGAGCTTCCTCTTCACGAATATTGCCAAAGAGTGATCCATGATCATGGTAATGAAGGAAGAAGCATCCGTGACAAGACCTCCATTGCTGGATGAAGATAACTTTCAATATTGGAAAATAAAAATAATATATTTCATTATGTTGATCAACGAAGAAGCTTGAAATTCAGTTGTTCATAGTTGGACTCCAACAGAGAAAGAAGATGACAAGGTGGAAACCATTGTTGTGGAGAAGGCAATGATCAAATACACTCCAGAAGAAAGTACTCGGTGCGATGCCAACTCAAAAATGATCAATGCTATCATCGGTGGAGTAGGTCCCTTGCTATTTCAGATTGTGTCTACCTGTACTACCGCTAAAGAGGCATGAGATGCATTAACTGAAACATTCGAAGGTGATGAGAAAGTTAAGAAATCTAAACTTTTCAAGACTTTGGTGAATCAAACACATCTATTGCGTCTGAAATAAGACATGCCGAAGTTGGTCTATAAGTTGATGCGAATGGCAACTGAGAAATTCACTACGAAAATCACATCACTGGAGGAGTTGGATAAAATGGACAATATCTCATTGAATGGGCTGATTGGAATTTTGAAGACTTATGAGATGAATTGTTTGGCATTTAAAGCTCAACTACAAGTGGCCTTTCCATCAGAAACTACTGCTGTTAAAGATAGTGATGAAAAGCTGACCTAATTTACAAAACGTTGGCTCGAATAATTCAAGATTAAAGGCCAGACAGTTGAAGCAACAAGGATTTTATACTAGGAATCAGAGCTTAGTTCGAACGAAAGACAAATATCCAGCCCAAAAATCACAAAAAATTAGTGTTTTTTCCTGCTAAATATATTGTCCAGAATGGTGATGCCTATAAAATGATGACAGTGGTAAATAGGCCAGTCATATCAGATGATGTTAGATGCTACGGGTGGAATGAATATGAACACATTTGGTCTGAATGTGCAACAACTAAGAGGAAAAACAAAAAAACATAGGAATCACATTGAAAGATGAAGAAATCGAAGAGGATTAATCAATTAAAGAAAAATAAGAAAATATGAAAGATGAAGTGGTTGTCTTCACTGCTCAAAATGATGAGAAAAATGAAGAAAAATATGATGATGAATTTATTGAAACGACTTTCGAAGAACCGATGGAGGCTTACAACATGGTGGTAGATGAACAAAAAGTTGCAGTGGCTCAAAATGATAAATTGAAGGCTTGTGTCATAAGATTTGACAAAAAGATTGAGACAATGATAAAAGTGAATGAGAGAATAACCAAAATGAATGATGAGTTTTCTGGAGAACATGAAAACTACTTGAAGTCTCGAATGAACAGATGAAAAAAATTAGCAAGTTGGAAAGTGAAAAGAAAGAATTAAAAAGTGAAATCTGTAGGTTGAAGAAAGGAAAATAAAAGCTTGAAAAAGTACTTAATGTTAGAAAACCATATCGTGATCACAGTGGAATTGGGTTCATCGGATCTGGAACCTCTCAGACAACTACAACATTTGTTAAAGGCGGATTGCTATCTGAATTAATTGGTAGCAATGAGAGTGGTAAACTGACCGATGTTTCGAAACTCTCTAAAAATCGAAGGAATGTATGGGGGTTAGGCAGAAATTGAACATCAAGAGTTGGACTTTGAGCGAATCAAACATGATTTATGGCTGAGCATAAAGTTATTTTGGGTTTAAAAACATTTTAAAAACAAAATTATGGATAGAGTGGTGTTAAGACCTAAGGTGAATCAAGGAACGCGCCTAGTTTCTCTATCTATGCAAAATGTTGGCAAGAATAACATATGGTATTTTGACAGCGGTTGCTCTAGACATATGGCACACCAAAAGAAGCTCTTGTCAAATTATTGGAAAATAGATTGTAGAAATATTATGTTTGGGGATGGAACAAAAGAAAAAATCTTTACGCACGGAACTCTTAGATTCAATGATCTTTATGAGCATAAAAAAATATACTATGTTGAAGATCTCAATGTTAACCAACATTAGTCAACTATATAATGAAGGTATGAAAGTTAAATTCTAAAAAATTGGCTGTGAAATTTAGAGTGAGGGTGAGCAAGTGATGAATGGAGCTCAATAAAAAAATAACTGTTATGTTCTAAATCAAACTCTGAAAATGGTGCTACTAACTCAAGAAGACCTTTCTCTGTAGCACATGAGGCTTGGCCACCCCAACTTCCAAAACCTAATTAACATCAGTAACTTGGGAGCCGTTCGTGGTCTGCCAAAGATGTCAAACTCGAAATTCATTGTCTGTGGGGACTGATGTAAGGGAAAACAAAGGAGAATTGAGCATATGTTGTCTGATGAGCATGCCAACAGCAGTTGCTTAGAACTATTACATACAAATCTCATGGGACTGACTGATGTTGCAAGCATTGGTGGAAAAAGATATATAATGGTCATTGTCGACGATTATTCTAGATATTCTTGGGTGCAGTTCTTGAAGGAGAATAGTGAAGTCTTCGAGAATTTTCAAGTGTTGTGTGAGTAGGTTTCAAATGAGAATGGAGCCAAACTCATGAGGATCAGAAGTGATCACGGGCAAAAATTCGAAAATAAGTTCTTTGAGAATTTTTGTAATAAAAGAGAAATTATACATGAGTTTTCAGCTCCCAATACTCAGCAAAATGACATCGTTGAAAGGAAGAACATGACATTACAAGAGATGGAAAGGTGTATGATGCATGCAAAGTAGGTTTCCAAAAATCTGTAGGTAGAGGTAATTAACACTGCATGTCACATTGTCAATCGGATTTATTTGAGGCCTCACATGATGTCAACATCATATGAGATTTGGAAAGGAAAAACACCGGACGTGTAGTACTTTTGTACATTTGGGTGCAAATGTTATGTTCTAAATGACATAGAAGAACTTGGATAATTTGATGCAAGAGCAGACGAGGGGATCTTTTTGGGGTATTTGAATAACAGTCGAGCTTATCGTGTCTTTAATATCTGAAGTAGAAAGGTCATGTAATTCATTAATGTAAATTTTTGCAGTGAATTGGGTGAAGAAAAAAATCAAGACTCGGATGAAGAGATATTGAAACTAAATGATAACTCTGGAAGTTTAGACGTGGAGAAAAACACTGACAGTGGACAGGAGTTGGACATTGTTCAGACATCAGACGAATTCGGACTCTGGTACCAACCACTTTATGTCAAGACCTAAAAGACCATCAATGAGTAGCAAAAATCATCCTTTTGATCAGATTATTAGTTATCCACAAGGTCCAATTTTGACAATGAGGAAGTCAATTAACTTTAGAGAACTTGCCGGATTAAACTACTTCATCTCAAAGATGAAACCGAAGAACCTCGTAACAACCTTGGAGGATGAATTCTGGGTGGCAGCAATGCAAGATTAATTGGCACAGTTCGAAATGAATGAAGTGTGGGAACTCGTCTCATCACCAGAAGATGCTAACATCATATGATCAAAATGGATCTTAAAAAATAAAACTGATGAAAATAGGTGAACATTATTCGGAACAAAGCTAGACTGGTTGCTCAAGGATTGAAGGATTTGATTATAATAAAATTTTTGCACCAGTTGCAAGATTGGAGGTTGTACGAATGCTGCTCTCAATAGCCTGGTCCATGAAGTTCAAAATGTTTCAAATGGATGTTAAGACAATATTTTTTGAATGAAATAAGATTTTTATCTTGCTCAACCCAAGGGATTTGAAGATCCAAAACATTCTCACTATGTGTTCAAACTGAGAAAGACACTATATGGATTGAATAGCCCCGCGGGCTTGGTATGAACGGCTATCAACTTACTTACAGTTAGGGAACTACATTCAGGGATTAGTCGACAAAACACTCTTCATCAAATGAGAGAACAATGAGGTAATGATTGCACAGATATATATTGATCCACAACAACCTACATCCACAATCCCAAAACGGGATAATTCACTAAAATATTTATTACAATTTTTTCACGGATAAAATTGTAAAACCCTTTTCACAACAACTCACCAAATATCAATTTTACTATCTCTAGTTACTAAGGAGAAAAAAAGTTCGTTGTCGTGTAGTAAAACAAGACCCAAATGAGTCAATTTATAGGACCCAATGTCCCAATTTTTTTTTTTTTTTTTTTATCACTTTTCCTATGTGGGACATGAAAAGTTACACAAAAAGGCATCATCGATGCTTTTCTCTCTCCATTGTGCCCTCTCTAACATGTATATATCTCTCAAGGAGTGTGCGGTTGGATGGTGGCCCATCGATGACAACAAGAACAACACGTTCCCAAGCAGACGGCAATGGAGTTATCTTCTGCAAAATCTTTGGTAGGTTTATCCTCAAACCCTCGTGTTTTCCTTTCGACCTTTCTCAACTGATTCGGCGTGCAGTTTGCCGCTCGGTTTGACAAAACCAAGCGGCTTGCCGCCGCTGCTTTTCCTAGCTTTACACCTTAAGTAGCGGTGTTGTCCTTGCCATTTGTCTCCATGTCGCAACGTAAAGAGAAACAAAAACTTGCCTTGGATGATTTGCAGAGTTTCGAGTATGTGATGAGAAGGCTCGTTGTGACTTTAGTGTACACTGTGAATAATATGAACAATGAATTTGCGTTAATATTTGACAACAATGGAGCTAACTCTGTTGGTTTGTTTTGTTTCCACAAGAAAGATGGCGAAACATTTCTTACTATTGTTGTCTGACATTAAATTATTTATTCAATTAATGAACTTTTGTGCCCAAGTTGAATTCTGTTTCCAAATTATTATTATTATTATTATTATTATTATTATTATTAGGGTGTTCAAGGTGATGTCAAGAAGAGGAGAATTGAGAGTGAGGCAAAAGTGGTGCCTATAGCGCTTGATCATATGGATGTTTTGTGCAAAAAAAATCTTTTTTTGCCGGGTTAATACTCCTATTACTGCATTGAAGTGTGATGACTATTTCTTGGGATTGTATATTTGTGTAGTGTTGTCAATATTTATTTTCTAAGAATCATGTCGGCATTTTGTGCAAAGGGTCATGTTGAAATCTTCGGAAATATGTGAAAATTTTTGGGGTTTTATTTGGATAGGTTGCTTGAAATTGAAGATATGTATAAATATTGGAAAGGTTGTTCTTGAATACCAACTGAAGAAGGGGTTTAGGGTAGGAATTTCTATGGTTGTTTTATGATATAAAAAATATAACAATTGACATTGCAATTCATAAGTAAGAGCATTACCTAAAAGCAATTGCAATGTCGTTTCCAAATTTCTCGAGTGCTTAGTCCATAATCTCAAGATGGAGCACCGTCTAGCACTTTTGCAATTTTTCATAGTCTTTTTCAACCTCAATTGTTTCGATTACCTCTATACACTATTTCACAAAAATGTATAAATGTACATTTCTCCTTGCTACAAAAAAGTATCTAAGTAACTACAATATTTTTAATTGCAAATATTTTTTAGTTAAAACGTGTCATTTAGCTTCAAAAATTAATTTTATTGCTAAAAATAAATTATGTACTACAAAATTAATTTTGTCGTTAATTTTTTTTTGCTAGAAAATTCTATCTTCAGAGCAAAAAAGTTCTAGCTACAAAATCATTTTTCATAGTTAAAATCATTTGGTTAAAAAATCATACATATTTTGTTGCTAAAACTCTTTTATTATGAATTTTAATTTTACAACAAAAGAGCTTTAGCTACGAAATTCGTAGCTATATCTCTTTTCTTAACTTTCATTGCAAAATTTTTTATTTTTTGTTACAAAAGTCATATTTGTCGCCAAACACCTTTACTAATGCGGTATAGGCAATAAATTGAGTTTCATTGCAAAAATATTTTAGCTATGAAAATTTATATTTTGCTACAAAAGATTTTTGTGGCTAAATTTCAACTTTTTTTGTGGTGCCTTCCCTTCTTCGCCCGAACCCAGCCCCATCGCCTCGCCACCGACTTGCTATCCTACCTCTTCTTCTCCTTTCACCATGATTGCCAGCTTGCAAAGGGAGAGAGGATGGTTCTGAGAGATTCTCCATCGCCGGAGTTATGGGGGAATCTGTGATATATGTGAGAGAATACGATGAAATCGATTAGTCCCTGTGGATCTTCTTGCGGAGAAGAAATTTGGTAAAGAAATATAGAGTGTCGGAGGATGGGGTATAGATTGTAAAATAAAGCCATTGTGGAGAAGATATTTCTATCAATCAAAATTGCATTTCCCTTGCTTGGACACGCAGTCATTACGAAACTTATATATATATATATATATATTTTGGAGTTGTTGCTCTAAATTAATTTAAATGTTATATATGTATTATATGATAAAATTATAGTTTTAGATTTATAGATTTTTTTTAAAAGATATTATATAAAATTTTATTTTTCATTAACTAATTAATTTAAAATAGTAATAAAAGTAATTTAAACACAAAACAGTGTATATATAAGTTAATACACATTATAATTTTCATAGTTGCTAGAAGTAAATAACCACTCATTAAAATTACCACTTGACCATAAATAAAAATTTTCATTTAATTACAATGTCACATTTATTCCTAAAAAATACAAGATTAATACGACCAATCCAAAAATACATCAATTTGTGCAATAAAATTTCTTAACTTGCAGTCGGGAGGAAACACGGCCGTGTTGTCCTTTTCCCGAGCCATACGCGCCACTTTTGCGGCAGATCTTTCCGTCATTTCCACCGTTGATGGACCGAAAAGACTTTCCTACCCCTCCCAGTAAACCAATCCCTAGTCCACCACTATGTTTGCATGTAGGGAGCCGATAGTAACTTCACCCATCCGAGTCAGTCTCACGGAACGGCAGTGGAACCGTCTTAACGGCCCTGAATTTTCCCACATTGTTCAAATGCTCATTTTCCAATCTGTCCGTACACATCATGTTAGACAAAATGATATTTTGATATTCCATATTATAAGCTACTTAATGTAAAAAAAAAAAAATAATAAAAATAACAAAATTCTTACCTGTAGAAATTCCAATGGCCTCTTCGAATGACCTCCAACGATGCGAGAAGAAATTCAATCAAGCGCGAGTCGAACATCCCGACTTTGAACCTCAAAAGAGTCTCGACCCACAAAATACGCAAAACAAAGTTCAAAACCTACAACCAAAACTCGATTAGTCAAGAAACAATCACACGCACGCGCACAACGAATAGGACTTTGTCTAATCACGAAAAAAAAAAAAACTTACGATTGATGCGTAATAAAGCCATTTACTCTTGAGTATAAGATCATCTCTAAGCCACGGATTTCTCGACTTTGGATGGAACAATCCCCAATCTTTGACGAAATCCCAATACAATTGATATACGGTGGCCATGACCGAGGTCACCAAAACAATTGCCATGCATAGGTGCGACGATTTCTCCCTCTCGTACGTTAGCCTCGCCCCCGCCGCCACCATGGCCGATGCATATTTCCCCAGATTGGCGAGGTGGTCGACATTTCCCTCGTCGAACCATCTTCTTGCACACTAGAAGATTGTTGTAATAAGTTTACGGGTTAGCTAATCATAGGATAGCTCGCGAGTGTATGATAAATGACAAGATAGTTGAAACTAATGTATATTTTTACTTGCATTGCGCGCCAATAGTATGGCGCGAAGGAAATTATGTATGCAAACTCCCGATAAAGCTTGCCCGACTTGCATGTCTCGTAATCGTGCATTTTGAAACTCCCCGCGATGAAATAACATGCCGCCGATTCCATGTGCCGGAAAAATGGGATCTGTTGAAATCATGTAAAAATTTAAAGTAGTAAGTTAACGGCGAAAATTATACGATAAAAAAAATTGAAAAATAAACGGAACAAAAATTTGTTTATGGGCACATATGGAATGAATTTGAATTTCAGAGTAAATATTAAATGAAAGAATTTGAAATACTACATGTAACTTTGAAAACTTGAAATCATTGTATTGCCAAACAAATTTAATGAATTTGATAGAAATACTTTTAATTTAAAAATTTTCAACTAAACAAACCTTAATAAATTTTAAAAATTATAAAGCTAAAGTATAATGAGATCAAATACCTGACTAGTTAATTGATCCGCCATGAAGAAGTCGACCATCACAACCTGATTCAATATATTGAAAAAAATTATATATAATTCAACAAATTTTTTTATTACATTGATAGTCTAATCACTAGAAATAAAATATATATATATCTAATGGATAAAATCTCATTAATCAGCAAAAAAACTATATACTATTTTCTTATGGTCGAAGTTTTTATTACAAGCATTTTGACATGGAAGGAAATGAAGCAAGAAGTACCTTATAAAGAGGAGAGAATACAATGTTGCGAATCACTTTAAGGAAACAAAACCTCGTCGACCGATAGAAAATATTTAGAGGACATACCAAAAGAATCATCGAACTCTGCAAAATATCGACAAATATGAGCCATGTAGTCTACAAAAATAAAACAAAATAAAAATATCACAAGTTGTAAGATATATATATATATTTTTTACCAGCAAGAGAATCCCGGGAATAAAATCGACTTGGTGAGGAGAGAAGCCAATGCAGAGCAAGATAAGGTGAGCGACCATTGAGCCAACGACATATGTCATTAGACAAGTGCAAATGAGGAAAGCGTCGCGGTACTTAAGGGCGGTTTTGGGCTGAAACTCGAAGATGAAGTTGTAATTAATCCTCGTCGCTTTCCACGCAAACAAATTGCACCCGTACATGAATAAGTGCAAGCTCAAAAGCGCAAACATGCTGCATAGATGTTCGGTATAAAATGGTTTGTCAGCGCATAAATTAATATTCTAAAACTAAATAAATTTTGTAGGAATTTAAATGGAATTGTGAACAATCAAAACATATTAGGTTCATTCCCTTAATATTGTTAAGTGAAACAATTCCTCATAAATATTATTGAAAATATAATATACCCACATTAATAATTTCACTCACAAAAGTCAACTTTCAACTTTTATTTACTTTGTATATTTTTTATTTATTTAAAAATTCATTATTTCAATGTCCTTCTAAATATATTGGTTTTGTTCGCTTAGTATTTTTAAGTGAAATAATTTCTTAAAAATTATTATTTAAAAAAAATAATATACACACATATTGACCTAATAAATATAATATATATTCGAAATGAAAGTGTAGTCTACCTGCGAAACTCTTAACCTATTTCCTCTCCATGTATTTGTAGTGAAGGCTCAAGTCAATAGTTTCGACTTTTATCCGTTCATAAATTCTCAATAATTAAACATAAAATAATATTTTTATATTACCAAAATAATTTCTAATACTTGATATAAAAAGACATAAGTGAACAAACCCATTATATTTGTATCACTACAAAAAAAAGAAAATAGTATATTTGTAACGAAATTCTGTTCCTAAAGTTCACGTAGCTAACGTAATTTCATCTCTAATTTTGTCTCTAATATCATTAGTAATGAAAAAAGTGGATTTAAGAACGAAAAAATCTTGTTACAAAATTAATATTTTTTTGTAGTTTATTCATTTTTTATACAAAATATTATATTCAAATACAATTTCACTTTAAAAATATTTCAAACAAGTTCAATTCAATTGATTTATATATATATATATATATATATATATAATATACTTGATGGAATCCCAATAAAAAAACATAATTGTTTGGGGGATTTGATTTTTATCCACTATTCATCCAATTTTTTTCCCCCAAAAACATCAAATCAAACACCTATTTTTCATTTTTTATATTATACTAAAAATCAATTTTACATTAAAAACATCACATCAACACCTATTTATATCACATCATACAACTATTCAAATTCAAAATTTTTACTATTCAAATCCCAACTAAAAATCCAAATCCCGGAACAAACACACCCTAAATCTACATCTAAAATATTATATTTACCTAAAAAGCATCAACAACCAAAATTTATTGAAAGCAAACCACAAAGTGTACAATGTATTTGTTTTTCTTATGTAAGGTTGTCCTATTCAATTTTTTATTTTCTTCTAAATTCTTTTATTTTCCCCCAAAAATAAATTCCATTCAATTTTTTTTATAAAATATCATATTAAACTAATCTTTCACGTAAAATATTCTGAAATTTGTTGGGAGTAAGATAACAACCAGTTTGGCACATAACTAAATTTGTATTATCATTATTATTATTATTTATTAAATGAAACAGTTAAGGGGTTGGTCATCATATCACATACATTCTATATTTATCGAATGAAATGTGACAACTGCACAACAAACCACTGCTATATTTGGCAAAAACACGTACAAATTTGAAAGTACGCATTATTCTTACTCGTAATTTAAAAATTGCACAAGATTTTCTTATATTTTAGAATTTCGTCCAGTTTCCAAGGAATTTTGTGTAATAATTTTTAATGTACGGGAAAAACTTCATGCAATTTTTAAACTGTAAAAAAATAGGGTATAAACGCTTCTAACCACAAGTGAATTATAAATAATTTTACTGCTAAATTTTGTCCAAAATCCGGAATGAGTAAGTGAGAAATAGAGAATTGTGAAAATGACCTGAAAATAGGATAGACAGTTTCCATATAAGCAGCTTCATTTCCATTTGCAGACAAGAACAGCCCGCTAACATACGCCAATATTGCATACACACTGAACAACGTTACAAAACTCCCTGTAAACAACCCTGCAATATATATATATAATATAAAATAAATAAATATAATTATAATCTCGAAATATTGAGAGTTATCCCATATATTAGCACGTTGTTGTATATTACGTTGTATAGTCACTACAAGAAAATAATATTTCTTTCGTCCGCCTCTAAAGGTCACAGTTACCTTTTGCGTCATTGTACTTAACATTAAAAATATCTTTATATTTGTATAATTTTTTTTGTACAGATGTCATTTTATTAGTATTGTAAGACACTAATTAAAGTATTTTTGCAATTTTCTTTTAATTTTTACTATATTTTGGTATAATAATTAATATTTAAATATCAGAATGCAAAAAGTAAATGAGACTCTTAAAGCTGGAATGATGTAATATTTTGTAAAAAAACAAATTCATCTCTAAATTTATTTTTTTGTTACCAATGACATTAGAGACGAAATTCATTAAATTCAATTCTTAAAATTCACGTAGTTAATAACATCCGTCCCTAATTTTCGTTATACATATATTATTATTATTATTATTTTTTTGTAATGAGTCTTGTTTAAAATTTACGTGAGATCAATCAATCTACATGTGTTTTGCAATAACTTCTAAAATTCGAAGTTATTTTTTAATATTCTCAACTATATGAAAACATTGATATTTTTTTTTTCTTTTTTAATATTCTATAATATATACATATAATAATTTATGATAAACATAAGTTATATTTTTTTATATTTTACTTTATTATATTTTTGTATTTTAGTGATAGTTAAGATTTTCTATTGTAAATTATGAAAGTATTTTGAAAATTTGTGATATTGTTTTAAGTAATTTTTATATGTTAGAAAAAAATAGTATCCATAATTTTACTACCACAAATAAAATGAGTAATTTATAATAATAATAATTACATATAAAAAATTTAATTAAAAGAATAAATGAAATGATATATATATATATATACGTACCGACAAAGAATGTAACGAAATGGGAATCTTGGTTGTTGTAATGAGGGCTGAGGAACTTCATGGCCTTTTTCCTGTCACTGTTGGCAAAGTGCTTCGTGAATAACGACTCCACTTCGTCCATTACTCTTACCACCTTTTTTTCATTTCCACAAATATTCATTATTTATTTAATTTTATTTAATTTAAATTAATAATTTATATCCACACACACAGGTAGAACAACAATTGATTAATTAAATCAATCGAGACCAAAACGACGTCGTATAGGTACCTTGTCGGAACTAATAAAATGAGAGCTTTTCACCACTCTGAGGTAGCTTGGCGACACGTGGCTCTTCGATACCTGTCCCCAAACAAACCTTAATTTTAGACACACCATCATTTTTTTTTTCTTTTTTTTTTTTTTTTTTTTTTTTTCTCTCTATAAATATTGGGAATCCATTATAGATCTGATACTGTCTTCTTTGATTCTCTATGACACAGTTCGAGTAACATGTGAAAAAATGAAAATAAGAATAGAATAAAATGATAAATTTATAATTAACCAGCAATTTAAAATAATTATATATATATATAAAATACATATATTTTTTATATTAAAAACAAAATAATAATAATAAGGGCAAACGTTGGTTGCATCCGCGACCATATATATGTATTCGATAGTAAACACTACAAGAAAAAATTATTTTTGTAACAAAACGTTTTTGTCTCTAAATCTACTTTTTTCGTTACTAATGACATTAGAGACGGAATTAGTAATAGAATTACGTTAGCTACGTGAACTTTAGAGACGGAATTCCGTTACAAATATATTATTTTTTTGTAGTGAAAATCGATCATATATCACGCCAAGAACTTTTATCAAAATATTTAGATGACTAAGTTATAATTTGAAAGAAAATATATATTTAACGTGAAGATTTTTTTTTTTTCTTTAAATCAAAGTCATAAATAGGATAAAAATTTTCAAAATTATGTATATAAACAGAGCCTTAGAGATTCGTAAAAAAAAAAATATTAAAATAAAATAAAAAGCAACAAACCCATCTTCCAAAAAGTAAAAAATAAAAAATTAGAAAAACTTAACTTCAATATAGAATTTGTTTATGAAGTTCATCTAACCTTGTCGAACTTCTTGAGGATCTTTGTGAAAGCCACCATGTTGAGTGTGCTGCCAAGCAGACAAGAACACATGTAACAAAATATTTTAAATAAATAATTAATTAAAACCAAATAATATATATATATATATATATAGGGAAATGAAATTGAAATAAAAATAATGAGGTGAGGTTATGCATGTTATGGTGAAGGACAATTTTCCGCGTTTATGGCTGTCTATTTTTCTGCTTTTTTTCTTGCACAAATTTCGTGCAAAATTATATTACATGCATCATACAACATGTGACAAACACACACATGATGTACAATACGTATTATACACCAACTCATGTATATTATGTTCTGACAGCGCATAATATAATCTTACATAAGACAATATATTGTTGATTTCAGCGCAATAAATATATTTACAAAATATAGTACAAATATAAAATTGTTTCTTTAGCTGAGTTTCTTCGGATTTTACTATTTGGACTCTGCGTTTTTCGAAAAATATATTTTTTTTTCTTTCACAAAACATCTCATCAAACACTATTTTTATATCAAACTCAAACCAATTTTTTTTTTTTTCCAAACTCATCAAAAGAAACACACCCTCGTCCTAGCAGCCGTATAAAAAATGAAATTTAAGTCATCTCCCTATTATCATAAATAATACTAATTGTATAGAAAATTACATTCTATAACTATTTCATTTTAAGATTATCGAAATTTGAAATATAAAGACGTCCACAAAAAAAAAAAAAAAATACAATTGTATATTTTCTCGGTTTGTATTTTGACGTCTTATATATATATATATATATATTTCACGTTGAAGTACTGTACCAAAATATAAATGATAAAAATGATCTAAGTGATAATCGACTATAATTATAAGACTATGTTTTCAACTTTTCCTATTATTAGATGTACATAAAAAAGCATGCAATTAAGATAAAGTACTATATGGGTGAGTCCCGCGACTTTTATTACTTTAGTACTTCGTTAGATTAATAATTCGCCAATATTTTTAGTGACAGGAACGTGTTAAAAACATGCACGTGTGGTAATATGATCTCGTTAAAATTTCTTTATATATGACATGCTATCCTAGTATCAGGAACTATGTTAGTAAATATGTCGCCAAATATAAAATCCTATCATCGTATGATTAGATTTTGATTTATTTTCATTTTTTTTTTTACAATAATCAATTTTTATAATAACAAAATATTTTTTTATATATATAAAAATCACATCTACTCCACTAAAATAAATAGATTAAATTTTTTTTAATTATTAAAGGATTAAAAATAAAATAAAATAAAAAGAAACTCACTTATGGGTGTCCAATCCTTTTCTATATGATTTTGAAAAAGGTGCTTATTAATTACGTGTTTGTCTCAAATTCGTTTCATGTCCTAAAGGAATTAATCAGCAAATTACGTATGCAATAATATGTATCCGTTATCCCTTTAATTGCAAATGTCAAAAAAAAAAAATAATAATAAAATTATTTAAATATACTTGTGTTTAGAAAATTTCCAATCATATCTCTTTATAATTTAAAAATTGTATAGAGCTCTATTTATTTATTTATGTATTTATTTGTGATTTTAAAAATATTAAACGCAATCTTCTTTTGTGTAATAACTTTTAAAATGTAATAAAATCCTATGAAGTTACTAAATAATACTCTCTTCATCCTATTTAATTTGTTCATTCTTTCTATTTTCGTTCGTCCCACATAATTTCTCTTTTTCTTTTTTCAGAAATATGATTATACACTTTAATCACATTTTAAAATCCATAATTTACTATCATGTCTATCTTAATCTTAATTTATAATTATTTTTACTAATACACTTCTTAATTACTTATTAATTATACAATACCTAAAATTAAAACACCGTGTCTAAACTAAATGAGACAAAATAGGTAGGACGGATGGAGTAAAAGATAATAATTATGGACCGGAATATAAGCAATTTTACCAATAATAATAATAATAAAATGTATGTGGAGTTGAGGTCCGGGACCTTCCGTACCTGTAAGTCTTGAGCAAGCCAAGGCCTCTGTAAAGTTCCACAAATGCCCCTCTGATCATCTTCTCGGCATACTGAATCTTCTTCCGGTTCACATACTCCGCCGGAGCTTTCTTAGGGTTGTTCACCAGATCCTCCCACAGCATCGACGTCACGGCGGCGATCGTCCGCGTCGGCGTCGTCGCCGGAATATCGATCCTCATCGCCATCCTCGGCTTCCCGCCCTTCGTCTTCCCTCGCGTCGCCGAGTTCACAAAGCTGATTCCGTTCTTTTCCAGGGCGGCGATCACATCCTCCGACTGAGATTCCGACGCCGGCGAGGTGTCGCCGGACTCGCTTTGCCATTCTGTCCAGTTTACTGTTTTGTTTAGCTTATCTCTTGTTAATTCATGCTTATTTTTTATTTATTTGAATAATAAATTATTCTCATTTTTTTACTCAGTAAAACAATATTATTATTATTATTACTCCCTCCTTTCTAGGAGCATATTTCATATATATAGACGAGAATTTAACTAAAATATAATTAATAAGTAATTAAAAATATATTAGTAGAAATAATTATTATTTAATAAAAATAATTATAGATTACTATTAGGATAACTAAATAGTTTAATTAAGATTAAAAAAATCTTAAATTTTAAATTTTAAAATTTAAAATATAATTAAAGTGTATAATCAATTTTTCAAAAAAGAAAAGAATAAATTATGTAGGACGGACAAAAATAAAAAATATGGACAAATTATGTGGGACGAAGAGAATATTATTCTAGAATATGAGCGAAATTTAAATGAAGATAAATTTAGATGACCAAAGAAGTAGTAGTATTTAATCAATATAATTTCAATAAAAATATATATATTTTTTGTTACCCAAACGTGCTGACAATTTTGAGCACAATTTTAATTTGTGTACTTTTTTAACTTTTATGGTTAAAATATTTAAATAATATTCTTTTTTTATTCGTTATCACATTTAGGTTTTTGCTATTTAATATTAAAAATAATTTTATATTTATATAATTTTTGGTACAAATATTCTTCTATTAGTATTAAAGACACTAATTAAAGTATTTTTATAATTTTTTTAATTTTTATTACGTTTTAATATAATAATTAATATTAAAAGATCAACACGCAAAAAGTAAACGATACTTATAGAACCAGACTGAGGTAGTATTTCATTTATCAGACTCCAATGTAATCTTTGAGATTTTATAATAGATTACAAAATATAGTATTTTATTAATTAATGAAAGCATTTAGGATGTTTTTGACATTTTTATCTTTTTACTTTATGTATAAAATAATTTAATATATAATGATATATTTGTAATTTAAGTAAAACTTAAATAGTATTTTAGAATTAACTATATGATTGAATTTATTAAATAGAAAAGAAAATACTTTTGAATTGGATAAACGAAAATTATGAAAAGATCATTTCAATTGGAAAAAAAATATATAGTTATGACAAAAGAGAAATTTTATTTATTTTTTATTTTTATGACAATCATCAACCGTAGATTTAAATTACTATTTTTGTATTTTAAAAATATTATATCAATTTTTTTATTCAAATCAAAATTCAAATTCAAATACAAACACTTTATTTTCAGATTTTAAAATATTGCTTAGAAGATAAATTAAATATTGGACATGTTCTTTTAAAACATTTCTACAAATATTTTAAAGATTATAATATTCTAAATAATTATAAATTTTATTTTGACTGTAGTTTGAAATTGATTCGAAATATGATATTAATTTAAACTTTTTATTAAATAATATTTTAATGTAATATTTATGAAAAATATATAATATATTTTTAATAAAAAAATTACTAAATATATATAGTTCTCGTTATAACAATAACTTTTAAATCATAAATAATATATTCTTTAAATTTGTTTTTCTTAAACCATATTTTCATGTTTTTTTTTTCTATTTTCTATTAGTTATTCAATATATGATTTTTTTTTTAAAAAAAAATACAACGTCTATTCAATAATAGTTAAATTATATATATAATATTAATTTTTAATGATATTTTATAATATATTTTTACTTAATATTTGTTATTAATTAAAGTCATTCATTATATTTATTAGTTTAGGGAATGATATATATAATTTCTAGAATAAATTATAATCTAAGTTTTTCTATTTTTTTCCACAAACTTATTGAAAATTTAATTATAATATTAAGATTAAAAGGGCACCAAAAAAATAAAAAAATAAAAAAAAATATTGTTAAAGAATAATCTCAGTTAAAAGATGAAAAGACATATTCTACTTTTGTATTATTTTTTAATGGCCACAACAATTCGACACAATCACAAATTCCCATGTAATCTATAGTGCAATGTCGTCTAGGAAATTCACAATTTTTTATTTTTTATTTTTTTAATTATTAACCTTTCTTCACCACCACTAAAAATCATGCACAATTTAGGCAATCTACCACTGAGTTTACTAAGATTTTGATTTTGAATTTTAGTTTTAAATAATAAAAATTTTGAATTAAAATAATTGTTTACTATAAATATGTATTGACATTATATTTTAAATATAAAATTTAATTTTAATATAATATAATAAATAAAAAATAATTGTTTGATTTTATATTTTTTACGAAGAAAAAAAAGTTGGAACAATGATCTCCAAAATCAAATCCCCCAAGTAAAAATAGCAATTTTACTCACCGGAAAAATCCGAACTCCTGTCCGGCGACATATATCGGGCGCCGGCGCCGGACCTTTTCCGGCGCCGATCGACGAGTACTCTCTTCAAATCCAACAATATCAGAAGCTGCTTATTCAGTAATTCCCCTCTTTCCATAAATTCAGTCTCTTTATTTTTGTAAAATTTATTCACTTTATTCAGCTCGTCGTCTAACATCTCGAAGAACTCCACCACCTGTTCATGCACAATCAAATAAATTAAATTAAATTAATATCAATATTTTAAAATAAATAAATAATTTGTGTACCTCATCTTCTTCAGAGAAGAGCTGAACAAGCTCAGTTTCATAAACGTGTTCTTCTTCTCCATCTTCTTCAACAGTAGCAGTGAGTTTTCTGGTGACCTGAATTAATTAATTAAGAATAATTAATTAATTTAATTAAGTAACTAATTAACGATCAGAAACACGACTTTAGTGTCCTTTTCTGGCTGTTAAATTCGATCCTACTTTTCACGATTTTTCCATGAATGGGAAGCGCCACCAAAACACGCTTCTTGCTTTGTCGCTTTTGGCAAAGAAAATACAAAGCACCAGAAAATGCGACTTTAGTTAACTCTTTTTTTTTTTTTTTTATCATTTCTCCGGCCGATCGGAACAAATTTCAATCGGCCGGAAACACATTGCCGGAGAAAATAAAAGCAATTGATTTAATCTCAGGCGGCACCTTATTGATTATATCCGGGTTGGCGGCAGCCCGACCCGCCGATCTCCCTACAAGACTCCGAATCGGGTCGAATATGGATCTCCCGAAATCGGGGTTCGGATCCGGAGCCTGCTTCGGATTCCTCGATTGCTTAACTTTTTTGACGTGTTTCTTCAGTTGCCAGTAATTGACAAATGCGTCCTTCCATTCCGGTATGAGCTGAGCTTCCAGTTCCTTGGAGAACTTCACCATCGGCGAGAAGAGAAAGAAGAAGAAGAAGAAGAATTGCAGAGAAGCAATGGGAAATGGGAATATAAAAAGAAGGAATGCATTAAATAGGGAGGTTTAAGTGCAAAAAAGTTATTTATTTATTTATTTTAAAATGTGTATTTAATATTTATGACGTGTTTAATATTGTCTTTTTTTGTTTCTTAATTATTTATAATTGAAGATATTTTGGCGGCTAGGAATTTGCGACACGTAATTTTTACGATTTTGTGGGACTTTAGTTAATATTGGCATAGATTAAACCGTTGAGCCTCCATAGGCACGCAATAATTAATTAAATTATGTATACAAGGCAAGGAATGAATGGAGGGAGTGTGTGGACCGCACAAAGACTTGGGTTTGGTTTTGGAGTTTCTTCTCAGACTCAGACTCACCATTTCTACGGATCTTTATGATTCTATGAATCCTCTTCACAATACATTAAATGTAGATAATAGAAATACTCCATCCGTCTATTTTTTAATGTCATATTTGATATTTATACGTATTTTTAGGTAATTTGGATTTTTGTTATAAAATGATAAATTTGCCCTTAATCTTGTGTATAGAAAATGAAAGAGTAAATAAAATAAGGGTAAAAGAGTAAATTTTGTGTATAAAAATAGAAAGATGACAATAATTGTTGGACATTCCAAATAGGAAAGTAGGACGGTTAGTTTGTGTACAGAGGGAGTACTAAATATTATAATTATTATAATATAAATATATACTTTAGTTTCATGTTTTAGTAAATAAATAGTACTCCCGTTCAACTCTAATGGTCTCATTTATTTTTTGCGTGTTGATATTTGAATGTTAATTATTATATCAAAACGTAGTACAAATTAAAAAAAAATTATAAAAATACTTTCATTAGTGTTTTATAATATTAATAAAATGATATTTGTACAAAAAATTATATAAATATAATGATATTTTTAATGTTAAGTATAATGACGCAAAAGATAAATGTGATTCTTATAGGCGGACCGAGGATGTAGTATATAGAATATTATTATTATTATAAAAACATATACTTTGGCTTCTTTTTTTTTAAGTAAAAGAAACATACTATTTTTTCTATTTTTTTTTACAATTTTTTTTTTTAATTTTTATCCATTCTTGCACGGTTAAAAGTGCATAAGTTTACACGAAGGAGGGAGTACTAAAAATTTTTAGATATAAGTTGATATAGTGTTTATTATTACTTCCTATGTCGTCTAAATTTATTTCATTTTTTTGTCATTTAAATATATTCCCCTTTTTTAGTAACAAAGTACTATTTTTTCTTTATTCTAAAAAGTTAAAATTTCTATTTTTATCTATTTTTCTTAAACTTGTACACGATCAAATAAATACACAATTGAATGACGGAATCAATTTATTTATTTTTTTTATCAAATATATATATAAAAAGAGAAAAAAAAAAGAAGAAAAGAAAGAGCACCGGTATTATGCACTTTCTAGTTTTTTTCACTATGAATATTCATACTCATGTGATCTTCAATTTTTCTCTGTTTTGATATCTTCCTCAAAGTGAGCATAACATTTTGCTCAAGTAGTGAAATTGTTTTCATGCAACAATTTTGGTTATAATATCTACAATTTGTTCTTCGGTGGTTATGTGAGCAATTTCAATAATCTTGCTCTAGACTTCTCTATGAAAAAATAAAGATTCAGATCAAAGATTTTTGTCTTTTCGTGATATGTTTTATTTATCTGACAAAATACTTTTGTTGTCACAAAACACCATTAGTTTCTCCAATAAGGACAAACCAAGCTCCTTAATTAGTGATAACAGCCGCATAACCTCACAATTTAGGATGCCGTAGCCCCGTGTCCTAAAAACAACTTCTTGCTTCTTTGATTTCCATATAATGAGTGACTGCCCTAGAAAGATGCAATATCCTAGAATTGAGCGTATAGTGTCCACATACAAACCCCAATTACCGTCAGTAAATACGCTTGAAGTCATAGTTAATTTTTTAAAAAAGATAATTAATTTCCCTAGTTCGTTCTTCAAATACTTGAGCACCTTCAAAGCACTTTGCAAGTGTTTGTTTGTTGGTTTTTTCATTGTATTGAGATAAACCTTACACGTCACAGAAAATGCCAAGTTTGGTAAATGTCAAGTAAATCAATTTTTTTAATAATCTAGCTATAGAGTATAGGATTATGCAGAGAAGTGTCATCATTCTTCTTTAGGGTATTCCCTAGATCAACAAGAATCATGAACGGTTTACTTTCTAAATGCTCATAATCTTTCAATAGTTCTAGTGTGTATTATCTTTGATACATGAAAATTCATTCATCCGAATATGCTATTTCAATCCCAAGAAAATATTTTAGCCTCTGCAACTCTCTTATTTTGAATGCAAGCTTTAGACTTGGAATTACCTCTTCAACTTCTATCTACACATGTCCTTCAATTACAATATCAACCTACACTAAAATAAATCACCATATTCCCTGTTGATCTCCTTAATATGAATATAAATGATTCCTTTTGTGATTGAATGAATCAGAGTTGCAAAAATATAGGTAAATTTTGAGTTCTCATTGCTAAGAAGGTTGCTTGAGTCCATATAAAGCTCTAGTCAACTTACAAACTATTCTTGAAGGCATCTCTTTTATGTCAACTGCTTATATCCATCAGGTAGGTGCATATATAATTTTTCATCACATTAACCTTTAAGGAATGCATTGTGAACAACTAATTGTTGCATCCACTATCCTTGCATGGCTGCAAGAGCAAAAATGAACTTGGTTGAGGTTTCTTGACAATCAAACTGAAAGTTTCATGATAATCAAAATCTTTTTTTTTTTATTTTTTATTGTATCATTGTTCTACCAAGTGAGCTTTGTATCTTTCAAAGCCTCTATCATCCTTCATATTCACATTGTACACTCACTTGCATCCAATAGCTTTTTTATTACTTAAAAAAATGACAATCTTCCTTGTTTCATTTTCTACCAGAGCCTCTAATTCCATTCTCATGGCTTCTACCCAATGGGGCTATGTCATAGTCTCAACATAGGTTGTAAGTTCTTCTAGGCTATCAAGGGAGGCTATATAGGATTTAAAGGTATAATTGAGGGAACATGAGAAAATATGAATGAATAATGTGTATTTTGTGCACAGAGTTTTGGTAAGGTTGATGTAGTACTCTGAAAATTTATTTGACAGTTTAGGTACACACTGAGATCTTTTAAGAGGAACAAATAAGGACTCTATGGGAGAGGACTCATGAGATGAGTTTGAGTTGATAGATGCATGAATATCTTGTTGGAAACGATCTAAGGTTTCTGTTAAGGATGTTAGGTCAGGAAAATATTCATAAGAACGTTGTGGTGAGGTTGAAAGAGGGGGTTGATCATCTATATACCAAAGCTAGTGGGGGATGTCGACAAGAGGTATCTCAATTTTTTGAGATGAATAGACATTTTTTGAGCTGATAAAAAAATGTGCATCATGAAAAATCATATCTTTTGATATGAACTTGGTATGGGTTTCAACATCCATAAGTTTGTATTGTTTTACCTTAATAGGGTACCTAGCGATGATGCACCTTTTGACTATAAAATCAAATTCCTCTCTCTACCTAGTGAGAATAGAAGTATAAGCAAGACATCCAAATACCTTAAGGATTTATAATTAGGTATAGTACAGTGCTTCAGAATGAGTTTTGAAATTCAGAGTTTTTGTGGAGAATATATTTATAAGATAGGTAGTTATAAGAATAACCTACTCTCACAAAGAGGTAGGTAAATTTTTTCTAGAACAACAAAGCACAAATAATGACTAGAATGTGGCTATAATTTCTTTCTACAATCAAAATGTGTTGTAGTATTTTAACACACGATACTTGATGAAGTATCCCACGTTGAGCAAGGAAATCAAACATCTTAAATTCATATTCATTATCAGAACTAATAATTTGAATGTTCCAATAAAACTGGTTTTGGACAAATACATGAAATGATTTAATCAATTGTGATATCTTATGTTTATATCTCATTTGAATAGTTCAAGTGCTTCTAGTACAATATTCAACACTAGTGAGGAAGTGTTTATGACCTTCAGGAGTAGGGTAGAGTAAATGTCCAAATATCAACATGTATAAGTTAAAAAGGATTTTGGAAAGAAATAGGATTAAATAAAAAATTTAATTTTCTTTTGCTTGTCTTTGTGGTTGTGCCATGAATCTCAAACTAGGAAAACTTGGATTCTAGATGCTTGATATTGAGAATAAAATTATGAGAAGAATGACCAAGTCTGAAGTGCCACTAGTCAAATGACAAAAATGGTGGAGGAGACTCAAAACATGCAACAAAGTTGAGAAACTTAACAAGAAGAAAATACAACCTATTCAACTGCCTAGTTGGTTCAATTTAATCCAAAAGGTTTGGACTTGAAATTTACACTCAAGAGAGTTGAATGTTAGTTGAACATCAGTTTAGTTAGTGACAACATTCACATATAAGAGATTATATTGAAAAGTAGGCACCAAAAGGACATTGATTAGCAAGAAGTCTAATGTAAGAGAATTGTCCCAATATGGCTTATAGTAGCCTTGTATTTATTTGGCAAGTCCATTTTCATGCCTTCCAATGGACATAAAGATGAAAATAATGGTGAATTATCTCAAATATAGTAAGTGACAATTGAATCTATAATCCAAAAGCCAAGCACGTGAGATGAGGAAGTATAATAAAGTAGAGGAATGTGATTGTTACCTGAAAAATTTGATAAGGGTTGTATAGAAGTTTTAGCTGAGAGTTGTGACACATCCACACCAAAATGAGCTTGATTAATGGTATTAAGTGCAACTTTCTTAAATGAGTTTGCATCAAGGAAATGAGTTTTTCCTCATTTGGCTTCAAACTCGTATGATTCTCAACTGGAGAGTGTTTACCTTTGTTTTGGTGAACTTAAATCCTTCAAAACCCCCACAAGTCTATAGAATTTGGCTTTAGTGTGACATTATTTCAAAATGAAAGGAGATGATGTCCTTCTTCATGTTCATTTATCCAACAGTTGCAGCTAT